TAAGCAAACGTCTGTATTTCTCTCTTCTTTTCTTAATGTAATTAACGATGTGTACAGTGAATTTCCGTTCTGTATGCAGCAAGTTCAGAGAAAAACGTAGTTACTCGTGAGCCTATCAGTGGACAGCATTTAACCCCTTGCCCTATAACATCATGCAAGACTCGTGCTAATGGTTTCAAACAGAATCGAGCAAACACAGGTATCACTCGATTCCTTTGAATTCAAATTAAACGTTATTTTTCCGTTATCAATCATTACATAGAATGTGCCTAGAATTTTCTCGTTTTCTCAATTAATGACAAAATGGTCGTGTCGATTAAGGTTGACAAAGATCATAGGGCAAGGGGTCAAGTAATTCCTTTCTGTCGTTATTGGCGCGTCACGTCGCAGACGTATTAGTACGACGATTGCGTCCCGCTCGGGTAACTCGCGGCCATGTCTACGATTGTACCCGCGCAGAGCTTGATTGATAAATATATTGCTAAGCAAAATGTTTTGAGAGGAGCCGCCTCGAACACAGCCTTTCCACTTCACACGGTCTTGCTGGCGCTATTTACAAATTAAAGTACAAGTAGTTACAGAGGGTTGTTCGTACACGATGGTGGTTCGCTTTGTGCTCGCAAGAATGTTGAAGATTCGTGGCGTGTGTATATATGTGTAAGTGTTTATAAATGTGTATGCGTGTATGTTTGTTTTGTGTGTGTGTGTGTGTGTGTGTGCAACAGAATAGTTTTGTCAGTGAGCGCGTGCAATTCAGCTGTCTCGTCCGCTCACGGCAGAACTACGCGTTAAATAATAAAGATAAACTAACGGTAATCGTTCTTACAAATGTATCGTTTTAATTACTACAGCCGACCGGAAATAGAAATCTAAATCGAAACGAGGTATCGCAATGATCAAAGTTACGACGAATCCCTTTTGCAGGGGATGTCGGGTTTAAACTGATGAACGCGCTACTCTCCGCTCGCATTGATTCCGTTCAGCCTCCGTCCTCTTTTAAGCTTCCTTCACGCGATTCCATGATCCGTCTCGTTACCGCCTATATAATTATAACTATTATCAAAAGTGTCTATCTAGTGACTCGCGTGTGTACGCCAACGCATTCGTGTTTTTTCCATTATTTTTTTGCATTTTTCTGTTTCTTTTGTTCTCGAACGTTGCCTCGAATTTTCATTTACGAAAGGAACGGCGTTTGTATCGATTGGGAATGATCAGAAGAGGCGTTTCGTGGGCCGCGAAATAAAAGAAAAAGTAAGTCGTCCGGATTTGTCTTGCGCACCGTGATAGAGGGGAAGGAGGGGGAGGGAGGGTGGGAGAGCTACGATTTTTCCTTCGTTTTTGTCGCGTTGGTATCGAATTTCTCGTCCGGCAGCGAAGACCAGGCACGTGCCACGGGGATGATCCGAGATTTAAGACCTCCGAGCGAAGGCACAAATCATAGCCATTCTATTGCGCACGTGTGTACTAGATAGGGCCTGACATCTGAAACGTTCTTCTTCGACTCTTCTCACGCGTTGGCGACTTCCGGGTAACAAAGAGCAAACGTTTCACAGGGGCGGTTGAACGATCGTCAGTGATCGGTCGCGACCTTCTTCGGTTGCCGTTCTTGCGCGCGTCTCAGCCGCTGCTGCAACAGATTGTGCAGTTGTTCTATCTCTTTAGGCGCCGCTTGAACGATGAAGATCCTTATGTCCCCGTGGACGTCCATCGCCGTTAATCTAAGCGACTTAGGCGCGGCTCTTTCCGCCGTCATACCAGGCCAGACTTTCGTATTTAAAATTAATCTCTGGGTGCCAGCGGTACGGCCCACTAAACGCGACTCCTCGTCGTCCCGGTCGTTCAATCTTAAGGTGCCTCTTCCCCTTTCCTGCCAGCCGCTGCTGGCTTTGTCGAACGCAAACAGCTTGCAGTTTATTTGCAGTACGTTCGTTTCCCCCTCCTCGCCGGTCAGCGGTGTCACTTCATTGTATTTTCTCTTGTTTGCGCGGTTCGCTTCTTCTAATTCCTGTGCTGCCTGTGTTAAGGTCAGGCCCGGTCTAGTTGTAGGACGGCAGGCCACTGGAGCGTTCGAGAACAGAAGTTCTGAGGAGCCATTTTCGTTTGTGCTTTCTTCCTTCTTTTCCTCGGCTTCCGCGTTCTCCGAGCTTCCTGTATCATTCGCTACCATCACTCGTTCCTTTAAGTTCTGACCGAAAACGAAGCTGGGCTCCGAGGTACAGGGCGCTACCGCATTGTCTACACTATTACTTTCATTCTCCTTTGTGCTAGCACCCAACGGCAAAAATTTGCACTGCGTTTCCTCTTCCGGTTTCTCCTCACTCTTGGTTTCCTTCTCTGCTTCTACTTCTTTCTCCTTCTCTGGTTCTTCTTCCTTCTCCTTTCCTGCTTCTTCCATCTTGGTGTTTTCACTTGCAGTTTCGCTCTTCTCCTCTGGGGAATTGTCTGTAACTTTGGCGAAGGGATTTTGAAACTTTGCTGGTTGCAGGAACGACTTGTTGACCGGCTGACTATTTGTCACTGCACCCAACTGCGATGGCCTCAATATTGATGTTCTTCTCTTATTAGCGAAGGACTTTGTGAAGTCGTTACTTCCAAATTGATTGCCAAATTTTGAGGCAGCTAATATAGGATCTAGGAACAGAATGCACAAATTACTTTCATTATGTCTAATTAAAACAGATTGTAGAAGGATTGGAAATTCTCTTACAGTGCGGTTTACTAGGTGACTTGTTAGAACTGGATGAAGACTCCTCTGTATTATTTTCGGCGGGTTGACTTTCCATTTTCTCTGAAACTGAGTGCAACGATCTTTAATGGGCCTCTAAGCATGCACACTATAACCTGTATATCAAGTGAGAAATTATCTGAATCGATGATTCTGCAAGATTGACCAATCATAATAGAATGCGGAGGTAAACTGTACTGAATAAAAAAGGAGGACATTGTACAAAAAAACTCGAAAAAAAACAGTTGCACATTGAAAACAAAAAACATCAGAATATATTTACCACTGGTGGCGTTTTTAGATGGGTCCACCGACGGGTCTTGCGGAGGGTCTACCTTTAAAATATAGGATGGCCTGCTCGCCTCGTCGATGCTCTCTGCACAGAACACGAATCAAACAATTAAAACGATTGTCAAACAACGTTGGTTGGTCAATCTGTCGAAATCTAACACGAATAAATATTCTGGAAAAACGGTCCCGGGGACGTTAAATTTTTCGACACACTAGATGGCGACAGCTCTCTACGATTTACTAATTACGATGGTTTCACGTAATTAGGCACAGTTTATCAATGGTTTATTATTTCATTCGAGTAGAATCACAAAACGCACCCTTGCAGTCCGCCATTTTTTACGTGGAAGTGATTACGGTGCTGCCAGTGTCATCTGCCTGTGTTTTTTAGAAACCACGACAAAATGGCGGTTCCGTGCAGAGGTTCGCAACTTTATTCAATTTCGGATAAACAAATTTTTAGTAAAGAGGATTAAATAATCATTTTTCAGCCTTTGAATAATAAAAAATTAAACAAATTCGAATTTTATTACATATACACTTCCTTATCATATTTGACATGTCGGATTATATGTATTTACTTAGCTTGAAGCAGCTGAAGTTAAGTACTGAAAAAAATACATTCGTGTTGTCTAAATTACGTTGCTAGAAATGATTGCAGTTAATTGCTAAACCTTTTATAAAGTGTTTGAACAGATATCTTTAAAAATGAATATTTTAAGAAATATTTAAGAAACATTTTAATATCTTTATGGGTTTTGAATAATCTTCAATAGACTAACTCCGATGACGTCATTGGCTAAGTACTTATTGTTAGCAAGGCTATGAGTGCTTGTTTTTTTGTTCAAATTTAGTATATTTTTAGCACAGGTTATTCATGTAAAAACATTTTAATTGTATGGTCGAATCTGAACGAGTTTCATTAAAAAAACAATTTCTTTAATCATTTCCCAATGGAAGCAACTATCTTTTAATTTGGGCTTATAGAACTCCTTATTGTTTCCACTAGTTAATATTATCACTTTTTTCAGTGATGTTATCAACGTACACCATGATAACGTATGGTGATTATTTTTTTGTTTGTAAAGGTCTTTGAATCTTAAAAGTTATCAGCAGTTCTCGTAGTATGGTGACGAAGTCAGGAGTGGGAGACATTTAAACGGCGATCCTGGCAGAATTTCCGTAGTCTGGCAAGCGGCACCGTGGAATTAACGTGAATTTTAAAGTTTCGACGAGTCTGTGAGTGATAAGAGCACAACATGTCTCTGAACGAAGTAAATATGTTTTTATCTTAATTAGTGATTTTTGTTTACATATTTAACAGTCTCATGAACTGCGTTTGTCATACTTCTGTTCGTTCATACGGAATTTTATTTGTAGAAGTTTAACAAAGCTGCAGAGGAAGTTAAGGAATTGAGTTCTCAACCTTCGGATGTGGATATGCTTGAACTATACTCATTATACAAACAGGCTACTGTTGGGGATTGTAACACACGTATGTAAAACAAGTTTAAATTCTATGAACATGTCTAATTCAAATGCAGTATATATAATACAAATTTAGTGAAAAGTATTAGATTGTCACCAAGTTGGGTGAAAGTTCAATGTTCAAATACTTGACCTTCAGTCTATTACCAAAATAACTTGATGGAGCAGCCATTCAGCTATCATTTGCAATGCTAATTAAGTAAAAATGCTTACTACGGCCGGAAATTTAAATTATAAGCCGAATATATGAAGTAATTCTTGTTGCAAAGTAATTCCATGTGTTTTATGACTTTTTTAGCGAGGCCAGGAGGTATATTAGACTTTAAAGGTAAAGCTAAATGGGATGCTTGGAACAACAAGAAAGGCTTGAATCAAGACACTGCAAAAGAACAATATATTCAAAAGGTGGATGAATTGATAGTTATAATTGGCAAGAAGTAGTTCCTTATTTGCACAAGATTTTTCGCAGAAACGTGTTATATGGATATGGCATGTTTACGCAGAAATTCAACAATTTACATGTTTCAAACTCTTAATAATGTGCAAATACAATGTGACGATGCAAGGTACATCCATAATTTGCGTACATAGGAGTCTAACAGTCACAAAAACTGTTTTAACAGATTTTTTTATACTGAATCAAAATGTAAGAGACAATACTTGGAGGAATTGACGACTGAACATAATCAACCAGAGATCATGTATTCTGTTAATCAAATTTATTTCATTATTGTTAATTTAGAAGCTAATATGTTCAATATTCAGTCACATAATGTCCAGAATACTCTTTTCTACCAAAGTATATAATAACAGAAGTACTGAAGAAAAAAAGTGATCTCCCTCATCTAAGAAACTTTTATGCTTCCTGCTCAGCTTCCTGTATAGCTATATTTAGTTAGGCGTATCCGTTGCGCGGATTTGTAATTCAACGAAGATTTTCTAATGGAAATAAAACAATAATAAACAGAGTTATAATATATAAAACAAATACCCACGAATTCTCAGATCCATACCATCACCTGATTTCCACCTCTAAACGCAGTCGACGAACAATGCTTTAGAATCGATAGAGAAAGAAATAATAGAAATACTAATGTGTATTAATAATGTATTTTTCCACGTAAGTTTAACATTTCATTCTTATCATTATATACACATACGCAAGAAACTAACTAAGAGAAAAGATAGATTACGACACTTAAGTGTTTTATGTAAACACCGCGACAGAACAGAAAAAGTTCTAAGCCCTCTCTGTATCCCTTTTTTTTACGGTTCGACTAAGAAAAGGAACACATCATTATCATCATCATCATCATTATCATCATCGTCGTCACCATCATCATTTATCCATCGTGAACGTTTGTTTCATCATTGGCGAAGATGGAATTAATGTCCACGGCAGAGATAGCGTCGGTGTTATTCAAATATATGAATCCTACAATAATCGTATTACAATCGTACGAACTTTTAAGAGTACTGGTGGTTACGGCTGCTTAAGTTAAAAGAATCGTGTACAGGCGAAACACGTCCGTGCTCTCTTCACCTCTCTGTGAGTGTATTCTCTCCGCAGGTTGTATTCAGTTCTTACTCGTTACAAGTTCTCGCGGTTTACAAATATTACATATAATTAGACTGCGGACCTTATGCATTTATAGTACAAACGGTTTCTTAAAATTGAGTTTATGAATGATCAAAAATTGCAATGCAGTTTCATAAGGTTCTCGATTCACTGGAATCAAGAATAACCTCTAATGGATTCAAATCAATCTGATCCCACCTTTCTGGGCATCGATCCGAAAAGAAAGTCTATATTTGCATAAATATTCACAGCCTATATATAACTTACGCAATAACGAATTGATTAATCATTCGAGAAGCTAGAGACAAGCAGAACTTACCGTGTAAAACGTGAAACTGCGTCAAATTTCGAATGGAAACGGTAATTTATTCTATCTTAAATAAGAAAAGAAAGCACGGGAGTGTGCATTGGTACAATTTCTTCGTTTTCCAGAATACAACTCCGCAAGGAATCTTTGTTTACGTCGATTGAAAGAAAACTGGACAGACAATTACCAGTCGCAACTGAATTAAAAGAGATTTTGTTTTTTATCGAACGGCACTCTGAACGACAACGAAAGCAGCCTTAATTAAGAAACGGAAATTTACATCAGCCTCGTAGTTCGTACACATATATAGTCCGTACGTAACGTATGCGCGTGTGTATGCACTGTGTAGGTGGATGAAGTATGTATATATGAATCCATCCGTTGCCGACCGATGGCAGACATTTCTAGTGTAAGAGCCAAGAGTCGAGAATTATTTTCATTGGCCTGTACTGTCTCAGAAAATGACACATTTTTATCGGACAATCCGCTATAAATAATTTCCAGTGTATTCCCAGTGAACGCTGTTTCCTTTTCGTTGTTGCAAGCGTATGGCCCAACGGAACGGAAAAAGAGAGGATACGAAAGAACAGTCGAGAAGTAGACGAACGAGAAACAGGGCTGCGATCGTGGCCTCTGTCTCTTCTTGTTCTTGTCTATGTGCTTCTTAGTAAAAAGTGGATGATGGTGCGTTTTTATTCTGCTAGCTTTCAAGTTGATCACCGTGGAACGTTCTCGAATTCCGGCCGGCCATTGCGATGTCGGTCAGCTGGCGACTCGTCGATGTCTCGTCGAACCTGGCGGAACAGAGAAGGTGACGGGAACGAAAGAACTCGGTGATAGCGTATCTCGTAGCTTCCTCGAAACTGTTACGGTTCTCGGCTTAAGCGTTCCCGTTGTTGTTTGCTGTTATAGCGTAAACTGCATCACGGTCGCTCGAGCTAAGAGAGACTTCCAATTCATCGTCATCGAATCGCACACTGCGGAGTAATCGCTGCATCGATATCGTTGTTGTACAGTGATAAACGGTGTGTA